GTCAGCCTATTTTAGCAGATCTAACTATATATCTGAGCAAGGTGATAATTATCATTTTGCGTCCAACTTTGCCCTAAATAGTCATTCTTTGAACCATCAGGCCCTAGTTTTCGCGGAAACTAGGGACTAGCGGGTGTGGTAAGGGAATGATGTTTATTATGTTTAAACGTAAACAGTCAATTAAATATGTCTGAATTTCCATTTAAGTAATTGTTGCAGAACGTACAGTTATCGTCAAATCACTTCAATGTAATATGAATAGACGAGTCTACTTCCTTTTAGTTTTTCGAGTTCAAAAGAGAAACTGAAAATTAACAATGGATTGTAGATAATTAATGACCATTCTAAATGAAACTGGTTTTATTATTATTAACTCTGGAATATTATATAAAACTGAAACTCTATCAAAAGTAAATTCTGAACAGGCTTATTCCTTTGCTTACAAAATCTACTTCATTGCAAAACTATTGAAGCAGCAAAAATGATCTTTGGTCTTTATGTTGAAGCATAAAGAATACCGCTATGCAGCAATTTGTTTTATAATGTTTCTTATGGCATGACGGACCTGTTGAAGATGAGATTGGGCAATCGAAAATCTCTCTTTAAATATCAAAGGCTTGCAATGTATTACAAGTATTAAAATGTTATTGACGTATAGAAAAGTGGACTTTTTTTGTGATAATTTAAAAACAGAGTTAAACTATAAGATAAAAGACGAAAGTATGTAATTTCTCACTACGTAATTAGAAATAAGATAATAGCTAAGCAGTTTCATAATGTTATGTCGATGTTAATTTAGAGCATTTTACAAAATGTAAGAGTGATTATTTTAAGAATAAAAACACTTTCCAAAAAAAGTTATGAATTAATGTGATTCTAAATATATATAAACCTTGTTTGTCACCATATCTTCATAGTTAATCAGTCCCTAGGTTTAATCTACAGTCCCTAGAACTCTAAATTTACAAAACATTAAATATTTCATAAAATACTGCATAAAGTGTCTGACCCTTTTAATACTGCTTTGGAGAGAAGTCTTCCCAAAGTTGCACGTTTTTTGTGGAATTACCCATATAATGTAGTTATGTGTGCTATTGTGATTTTACTCCCCATGAATATATTCTAAAAATATAGTCCTAACGTTATGTTCATTATGGATAATTTACTTTAGTAGTTTCTTGAAATATACATTTTATTAAATGCCACCTGTTAACCGCGAGCTCTCCCGTGTAAATTATAGCCTATGTCAACTGCCCACGATGTAGATTCCCAGAGGTGAAAGTATTTTCATGATCGGATCAGTATTTCCGAAGATTACACCCAAGAAACAAACATAGAAACTTTTGTTATATTAGTATAGATCAAAGTTTTGTAGATAATAGATATATAACATTATGTCGTTGCTTCATGACCGAAGGTCTAAAGCCTTTTTTAACACAGTGCCATAATAGTAGCGGACTGATCCGGTTTTGTTACCAGATGTATAGAAAGTCTTATTAGGCATAGGTTTTGCTACAAGCTACAAATATGATTAGATCTGACACTGTTAGTACACGTATATCACTGATCAGTAACCATAAATAAAGTATTATATGGATTCTAATATGATGATTATATCTTTATATATATAATCATCATATTAGAATCCATATAAAGAATGGGTGAATGGAAAGAAGCAAAACCATACAGATTGGCATCATATCTATAAATGTTCTGTAATATACTTTAAGGAAAGGGTAAGACTGACCCGGTGCCTCGGCATGACCCTCATGTGGGTGGATGAGACCTAGGTAGGGTTTGAAGTGGGTAGGTCTGTGGTTTCATTTAGCGAATATTCCATTTATACTGTCTCGCCAGGCGCCTGGGTATGCTTAAAGCATTTTCTCTACTATTGTACTAATAATAATATTGCTTAACTTCGGTAAAATCGATCGCCATCGAGCACCTCATATTAACTTGTCAAATCTTATTTTGGATTGCTTTACATTGGTGACACACAATAATACGTTAGATAGTATTAAGTTCATGCTACCAAGCCATTTCTCTGCACCTACACTAATCAAATATAATAATACGTCTCCGTTTACTCATGCATACATAATGTAACCAAATTTTCTGTGGCTCATAATAGGACATCGTGTTTTCATGTATAAGTTTGGGGCAAGAAATAGTGAAAATTCCCTTTTTATCTATTTGCTGGATAGACAGATTTTTTATTTTGTAGTAAGTCAATATTTTTTTTAAACGTTTAGACTATTGCGCGAATATCAATTGATCCTAAAGTGGGCAATAAAAGAAATCTATCTTAACGCAGTCTTATCACTCTCCTTCGCATACTAGGCTACTGCTGACAACAGAAAAACGGGACGATCCCGTTGAAAACGGAACGTCTGGTCACGTTATGCATACCCTTCATTCCATTGTCAATTACACACAATAAGTTGGACCTTGTAATCAGACCGATGTCAGACAATTTCTGCGAAGTTTAAATCTCTCATTCGAGAGAGATGCTTTCGTTTTTTAATCAGTAAAATAATTATGTGAAAACATTTATATTATGTATTATTTAAGTATATATATATATATATATATATATATATATATATATATATATAGCAATATACGTTTATATATTATATTTAACGATTACTGTCGATTATAATAAATATTTTTATCTTTAATTTGGTGGGTTTGCTCAAAACGATTGCGGATACTTTTTTAATGTAGTTTTATCACAACCGGTCATGATCATGTTAAACTGTGACACATTCATAGGAGTTAATCTGATATCATGTATTCAGCAAAAAGAAATGCCGGGTCAGTAATTAAAGTCATTTTAGTTCGTTAACTTATATTAACAGGGACACTGCACTCTCATATCCTAATATTATTTTTACTATTTTCTATAACAGAGAAATCTTACCAACTTATTCTACCTACATTAAATGTTTTGACATAATATATTAGCTGCAGTTTAGTTTAAAACAGGGTCTTATTACTGCTAATGTTTACGTAATAAACAAATCGCAATGGAGTGTCAATTACTTGCATTTGCTTGCCGTTATAGTATCTACCTGAAGTCCAATATTATTAGTGCAATGTCTGCCTCACAAATCAATGGTGATATGTATAATTATTATATTGTAATCGAGTAACGAAAACTGTGTTTGAAACGCTAACGAATTTCCATAATTACACTAGCTCATCTCATCCTCCTGCCCTTTATCCCACGTTACGTGGGGTCGGCACAACATGTTTTCTTCTTCCATTCTTCTCTGTCAGACGTCAGCTCCACATCACCACCTTTCTTATTCATATCCTCTTTCACACAGTCGATCCATCTTTTCTTCAGTCTGCCTCTATTCACATATCCATCCACATGCATACCCATCACTCTATTCGTAACATGACTTTCGTCCCTTCTCATAACATGCCCATACCACGCTAGTCGATTACTCCTCATTTCCTCCGTCACAGGTGCAACTTTCAGGCTTTCAATTACACTAGTATTAGCAGAATTTCCCAACAGGTATAGTGACACTACGATATGCTGTGGTAACACAGCATAACAAAAAACTAAAGGAAACGTAGATACAAAACGAACCAATCTCATTTCAGACTTAGCAACATTTTTGAATAGAGCTTTGTATTAATTTATTAAGTGAACTGGCAGATACTAATGAAACATGTACTATTATATCGACTGACTGAATATCGACAGCCTGGCCTGTATATTTGTATATTCTGCATAATAAATATTTTACATAAAAATGCGATAGAAAAAATTACATTAATAATTATAAACAAAAAAATTTTAAATTAACATATATACTGTCACTTGCACAAACGTCCATTAAGATTTAATGACGCCTTTAAGCTCTAATGAATGTCAAACTTGTATGGGTAATGTTGCTTTAAACTATTGAAAAATTTAATGGACGTTTGTGCAACTGGCTGTTAGAAACATTTATCTAATGAAGAAGGCAAGGTTGTTTCAACGTGTGCTATGAAATTCTTTGCTTTTTTTATAAAGGTCATTTTAGTGTAGATTAATTTATACTCTGAGTATCCAGAAGTCTTTGATGAAAAATTCAGTTTGTACTGAATTTGTTTAAAGATTTTGTGTTTGATAGCGAAATCTCGAAAATGATGCTAACAAATTGGTCTGTTGGGATTCAGATCCTTATCGGGTCAATGTACATTACATAAAACGAACTCGTCTCGAGTCTGGGCGGGTTTATTACCATTGCTTTGCTTCTGATTAACATGTCATAAGTGGATATTTACCGCTTGGAATCTTTGGAATTGGGGTCTGTTATTGAACAAATAAAAACATTACGTATTGACGTATTTTTTATTATTATCTCTGAGGTAGAATAACGTTTTCATGGGTATAAAACTTTTCAGATTACTTATGTTACACATGTTTAGGACTAGTGGACTGTTATAAATAATATTTAATTACGAGATTTCCGCCTGCGACTTCGTGCGCGTTGATGTGATAATTTTCCAAACGCCATTTAACGCCCTTAAAAGGATTGAATATTTTAAAATCTTTCTAACCGAACCTCTACGTCATAATAACTACTAGTGTGCCAAAATTCAGCTCAATCAGTCGAGTAATAGATCAGGCAATTATTTATATATCGCACACCTAGATCTTAACTGAGACAACTCAAAAATTTGAGTGGGTTTTGACTTAGTACAATATTGAAATACTCGGTGATCATACATTTCTATCCAACATAACAGATTCAATAAAGGTTCGGGGATAAGTCGCTAGATAACTTTAGCTTTCTTTTGTTGAATCAACAGTGGTCGCGCTTCTGCCACGTAAACAAATGTATTGTCAGACCTCCACATTAGTTTTTTGAGTTGTCTTAGTTTAGATCTAGGTGTGCGATATGTCTCCTTTGAAGTTTTGCCTTCTTACACGTTACATTTACATTATTTTATTTATAATCAAAACTGTGTTTAATTTATATTATATTGTGTTTCAGATTGGGCGAAATGTGTACCGCATGTTAGCCAGCCCCACCAACACAATATTCGACTGTCGCGTATTGTCACGGCATCATGCTACGCTCTATTATGAAAAGGGACATTTCTACCTCGTGGTAAGTAAATCAAATCAAATCTTCGAAAGAAGTTTTTAATCAGCTTCGAAATAAAAAGGAGCTTTTCAATTATTCTGTACCTATTAGTCTAGTTAATATACCAGAAAGGTGGTTTACCAAAATGAAAAATGATTTGAAGACGGGCAATTAAAACAAGTAAGGAATGCTCAATTTTCATCTATTTTTTTTAAATCAATTTTAAAGGATATCATGAAAAATAAAATGTTTATTTGAGATTCTCTTATAAGCCCTTTCGTTTTGTATCTCGTGTAATATAGTTTGCACTGTTTTTTTATTTTCTAATTAATACCCCGTAAGAGACCGCCTTGGTTCAAGTTCATTTATTACGTTATATGCTGTCTTTGTGTCACCAATATGTGCATGTATTAGAAAATCTGACAGGTGGACAGCGGATGTATTACAAGGTTCCGTTGGCATTCTTTGGGTACGCAACCCATAAAAAGGAAAATTGAAAGGCATTAAAACATACCATAATTAAATTAAGATTTAAAACCCTAAATTGATTACGAATTATTCTACATCGCAGGGTAATCAGCTCGATTTTCTTTTTGTAGATTGAAAAAGCTAATTTGATTACCTACTCAAAAGTATCTTTTAGATAAAAAAGCTACTGATATTCATCAGTACATTATTGTTTATTAATTATGTATCTGGTTGAAATTGTTTTGGCAACTTGGCCTGTAAATAATTGACTGATGAAAAAACGTTCATATTGCGACACCGAGTCATCCATCCTACTTGTAATTATGAAAGAACCTTGGACTGGTTGTGTGGTAAGGCCCAATAACGTTCGCACGAGTCTACCACTCTCACTACTTCCGCCCACAGGCGATTTCTGTGCGCGTTTGTCGTCTTGTGCTAATGCCGTTTACAAAACTGCGTCTCCGGTTTTAGAGGTTGTTCGCCGACATTCGTTTTGGATTGTTCGTTTGATGTGAGGTCGTTCGCATCGTAGGACCTTACCTTAATTGAGTTGTTCTGTTGGCGATATAGATTAGAATAGTAACATTAGAAACTATTGTTTTTTATTTAAATTGTATTTCTACGGTTAGTCCTATTTATTAACTTTTTTCATTTCTAAACCTAGTCTCGTCTGTTCCCGGCTTATGTTTGAGATTACTAGTATTAAATTTATCTTATTTAGTCAGTTAGAGATTTTAATAATATTCTAGTGCTTTATATAACGTGAGAATATTTTTACGTCTTTTTGCTGTTATGGTTGTCGATGGAGTATGTAGCCTTTCATAAATATGTGGTGTATTGAAAATTGTGTGAATTTTCGAGTCAAGGTTTTGTTAGCGTATTATTAAGTTTCAAAGAATGGTTCTATTTAAAAAAAAACCTTACTTGGCCCGACGGGTCTGAGGCCAACAAATTGGCGACTTTAGACTCGTTGTCTACTCGCCCTTGGAGAGATAACATCGTGGTGTCGAGGTCCGTCAAATGTATCGATATGTTTGAGACGGGCCTTTTTGTCTCCGCTAACACAAATGGAAAAGGCCCGAGTGCACGTAAATTTCCATTTCGAATAGCCTCATTTTTATTACTCTGGTTCGGAAGAATCAATTCGTATGTTACAGTCGGACACTTGATACATTAAACGGATCGCGAAAGTTCTTACGCAACTATTTCTGGAATTCGCTGAAAATTTAAAAAAAAACATGTTCCTTTGATTAGTGTGTGGCCTGAAATTGAAAATAGAATTATAATTATAATAATATAACTAAAAAACGTTTGTATTATGTTGATATGAACTTTATATTCGAGTTACAATTAATACGAGGAAAATGAAAGTTAACCTCTTTTATATAGTAACGTTTAATAATTAATCTGATTACAAATCTTCGACTTATAAAGAGTATTAGCGTTGATATCCTTTATAAATGACACAATAGGGTCGAGCAGGTGTTACTGTCGACCGCGCGCCGCGTGTAACAGATCGACTTCATTAAAGGTTATAATAATAAAAACGAAGGAAAACAAGAAATAATACTATTATATAAAAGAGATTTTATGTTTTGTTATAATGGCAATGTGTGCGTTGTTTCTTGGGTTTCTAACCCAAATGATAGAAATGGGACCCTATTATTATGAATCCGCTGTCCGTCCGTCACCAGGTTGTATCTCGTGAACCATGATAGCTTGTCGGAATTTTCACAGATGATGTACGTTGCCGCAATAACAACAAATGCTAAAAACAATAAGATAAATGGTAGGGTTCCCTTCGTGTGTTAATCCGACTCGCGCTTGGCTGGTTTAATTATTTATTCTTATATGTATTCATGTCTATTTGACATCGATTCTTAATTAGCTCACAATTCAACTATTATCTCTTGTCATGTTAACATCGTGGTCGATAAAACATAATAAGTTTTAGGTTTAATAACAAGAAATAAGTTTAAGTTATGTAGGTATACATTTATGACCTGAAAAAGAATAATAATATAATATAAAAAATGTCGGCCATAAAGAGTTATAATCTAATATAATAAAAAAAATGTTTATTACTAGTAATAGTAATGTTTGCGTTACTCATCTATAATAATTCGTTCCGTGATATCACTACATCATGCGGGTAAATTTTTTATTAATTTTCAAGTTGGAAATAAAATTTTAAAATACTTATACGTCCTGCCTACGGCACAGTTGAAGCCGATCGCTCAATCGAGTTTGGTTTATTTATTAAATATGTAGAAATAGTCATGGCGGACAACATACTTAACAATTTATGCTAATTTCGAATTTATTGTTATTAGAGTCAACGTATAGAAAATAAAACTCGAGTTAAGCCACGCGATGATTTTCAAATTAATAAAAGGTATATGAATAACATAACAGTCTCCTTTGTGACTACGCTTCCAGTTCCTGGCTGAATGAACAAGCGAACTTTACTCTCTCGCAAGGCTTATTGTTTAGCATGGTTAGCGTTACACGAGTTGTACAATCGGTGACATGGTCATTCCACCAGTAAGAGTGCATAGATAAACAACACTGTTTTAACTACACATACATATATATGTAATTCTGCCAAATCAAAAAGGTCAAATCGCCCGGTATTTCTGTTGGTTGTTCTTAAATCGTTTAAATTAGACCAATTACATTTGGATAATTTTCTTTACTCTTTAGCTCACTAGTTAGTGAGCATTGAACATTGTCTAAATACCTATAGATTTCAAGGAACTAGTGTGTTTTATGAAAATGAATCGAACGAATGACATCTAAAGACGCCCAAAATAACCTTGGTACCAAGAAATAACCTCCAAATAAGCTTTAATAAAAAAAACATTTTTTCTAAGGTTACTGTCACAGCAAAAAATTTTTTTGTTAACTTTCTCTATAGAAAAAAAGGACTATCCCTTAAAATTTATCATTTTTATCATTTCTTATTGCAATTAGACCTTTGGTTTTACGCTTCGTCGATATATAGAAAAAGTTTGCTTATCGACCTGATCGGAATTGACCAGGGTCACAGAGATGACTCTGCGTCAGCCTACTTAGTTGCCAATGGTGGCGACAATATTGTGTAATCAATTATGACTGTTCTGAATAACGATGAATGCATTCGTCAATCGTACGCGATTGACTATCGCATTTTACACATCATTAGTGATAAGGTATGCCATAGTAATTGGTTGCGCAAGCGTGCTTAGCGTGTCTGTGTCGTTACACGTTTGTTTGTTTTCAGGACAATCAGAGCAGTAACGGCACGTTTGTCAACAAGTGCTCGTTGTATGAAGACCAAAAGCCACATGAGGTGTTCTCCGGCGATGTTGTACAGTTTGGCATTCCTGTCGTCGAGGATTCCGCCAATTCTGGAAAGGTATGCTATGTCACTTTATTTGATGGAAATGTAACAGAATATTCAAACTTCCTTGTTATAATTGCATTATTAAGTTTTTTTTTTCGCACACAGTAGCACTTCAAATTATGATAGAATAATATTAATATAAAGGAATTATGTTAGAAATGATGTCTTAGAACTATTTATTAAAACAAAAAGGGAAGATACGGCATACTCATAGTTGCATTGAATTAAAAATTGCAGTGGTACATAAGTAAACTCACTTACACACTTCACAGTATTCTCAGAGCAAATTACAGCTATGAGTTTCAACTGTAGCGTGAGCGAGACAGGAACTCACTATGAGCTCTAACTATAGCGTGAGCGAGACTGGAAAAAAATGTTACTTTAGGATCTGACTAGTGTAATGATGAAGTTTAAAATTGATGCATTTCAGAATACGTTTCCACCGGTGGTCGCCCTCTTGAAATTATACCATCCAGATGGCAAGGAGGCTACATCCACGTTCAATCCGACTATGTCTACACCACTGCCCCTCGAACAGTTATATCAGCTCAATAACTATGTACAGGTAGTGTATACTTCAATGCTTAGTTAAAGTCTTTGTTTTTTTTTACTGTGGTCTTCCATTAAGTATATCATACAATCGTGATGTAATCTTACATTAATTGTAACTTAGTGCAATCTGGTGCTCTTACTAAAGTGAACATAGGGAAAGGGACTGAATCCCTAAATACAGATTATTTGTATAGTCTATTAGGGTCTGTTGTGACTTATATCTTCTATAATAATTGCCTTATATAATTACTTACATTAAGACCTATTACTGCATACCAACTGTTCAATTGTATGTTTTATTTTAATAAAGAATTATTATTATTATATACACTGGAGGTTGGTAGCGTAAGCAGCTGGAATTAGAAGCAGCCAGAAGTCAGAAAGCTTTCCGAGTATAGAGAGTTTAAAAAATAAATATTTGGTCTTTCATCTGTTTAATAACGATCTTCTCTACACTACATAGTGTCTCTGATAATTTTGGTGATATTTACACTGTTAGATCACTAGTACTATTTTGTAATAAAATCAGGTTTGAACTCGACATAGCGCTGTCAAAGCATAGAAGTTAAATCAAATAAAACTTATTTCGAAACGTAATAAAAATTTTATTTCATTAAAGCACTAATACTGTGCTAGCGTTGTGCTTGACGTCGAGTTAAAGGCCTCTCTGGTTGGCAAAATTATTGTCGATTTTCGAGTTTTAATTAAGTAAAATTTGCAATGTAAATATTTATAAGTAATTATCAAAGTTCATGTTGCTAGTTAGGATATATTCTTATAGTATAGATATGGTAAGATTATAAACTTACATAATAGTTGTTAGGTTGTAGTTATAGAAATAATTTGCATTATTTGTAAATTAAATAAGCTTTAATTTATTAATGGTGACATATCGTGTACTTACAATTATTATTTAAGATGACATTTTGGCTTCAGGAAGCGATACAACGCGAAGCGTCGTTGGAGAACCGTCTGCGCACGTTACGAGAGTGCGTGGAGACGACGCGCGCGGAGGCGCAAGACTCTTGGCAATTGTTTGTAGGTGAACAGAGGCTGTTGATGCGCGTGCACAAGCTCGAGAGCATGCTCGCGTTGGGCAAGCAACCCGACGCTCAACACGCCGCCCAACTCATCAACGACAAGAAGAACTATCAGGTAACATACAGGGTTATTTGAAAATACCAGTGGGTATAGCGATAGCCAATAATGTGTCGTGTGAAATCGCAATTGCTTTCGGAACGAAAGCTGATTTGAATGATCAGGAAATCTTGTTGGAGGGTTTGCCTTAGACAATTCTAATTAACGATATCATTGAATATTTTTTAAAGAGACTTCGCGGTTGCAATAGCTTTAACATTCCAAATAGTAGTAGCGTGAAGTTCGTGAATATCTTTCAAATGTCAAATAGGGGTGTAGACAATTTTTATATTTTTCTTTTACAAATGTACATGCAATTTTTTTTTATGTAACAAGTTAAAATCTAAAAAAGATTCCCGCGGAAGCGCCAGCTTCTGTCATTATTACGAGCTGCAACGCAGCGGCGTGGAGTGTGTGTGTCCCTTGAGCACCTTTAACGTTGATGAATTTTGTCAGTGTGTGCGTATGACGACGTATACGCTCGAACGTGCTCACATACAAACCGTTTTCGTTGCGTATAGATGAAGAGAACGTACTCTTATATTATACTTTGCTTTCTATCTATGATAGTTTAAAATTTCAGAATAAATGAAAATTGCACACGAAATCTCAAGTCGTTGGTTACAGCTATTACCTAAAAATCACTATTTAAAAATATATAATTGCCTATTTTTTATTATATATTTTATTATTTAATATATCTTTATTTACTTATTTGACACTTTATTGCACAACACAGAAAAAAAAAATAACAATACAATACACTTTGTACACTAGGCGGCCTTATTGCTTAACAGCGATCTCTTCCAGGCAACCTATTTACAAAAGATATATCTTACAAATCACCGGAAATATAAAAATTAGAAACACAAAAATACATACATTATGTTTTTTTGTGACTAACATTAATACATACATATCTTCTTCTTCTCTTCTTCAGTCTGTCTCTACTGTATAAGCCATTCATTGAGCTCTTTCCAACCATTTGGAATCTGCAACCCTCTTGATGCCGTCTTTCCAGCGCATATGTGGTCTACCTCGCGGACGCTTATTTCCCCAGGGCCTCCACTCGAGGAGCCTCTTGCACCAAGAGTTTTTGTTACGGGCCATATGTCCTGCCCACTTCCACTTATGGTGCGCCACCTGCTTTGTAACATTTGCGACTTTGCTTTGCTCTCGCAGCCATTTATTTGTTTTGCGGTCCAATAGTGTCACTCCTACCAGTTTTCTCTCTATTGCCCTCTGCCCTCTGGGCCACTTCCAATCTATTGATGGTGTCTTTGGTGAAGACCCTGGTTTCAGCGCCATGAGTGAGTACTGGTAAAATGCACTGGTTGTATATCCTGGCTTTTTGTTCCGCAGAAAATTTTATTTTGAAAGCAAATCCAGTTTCGAGTAGGCTGCCCACATAAGCCTTATCCGCCTGTGAAGCCCGTTCGATTGGTTGTCCTTGCCCATTCTGATCTCCTGCCCTAAGTATACATACCTCTCCACTTGTTCTATAGTGGTTTGGTTAATGGTTATGGTAATGGTGTTACTACTTTCATTTGCCATTATCTTGGTTTTATCCAAGTTCATTACCACAAACCAACTTGTAGAGAGGCGTCACTCAGCACCTGGATCATAATTTGTGATTCTTCTGGGTTATCTGTGAGAAGAACTATATCATTCGCGAACCTTAGGTTACTCAATCTAGTTCCTGCTATATTTAGACCACATTGATCCCATGAAAGTTTCTTAATGACATCTTCCAAAACAAGTGTAAATAGCTTCGGGGAAAGTGTATCTCGTACATACATATATAATATAATTATTGAAAACGAGGAATAAATAGAGTGCTACTAGTGACTACTAGAGTGATACTACCCAGAAACAAGAGAAGGATTATGCTCACCCGACAGATAATGCGCTTAAATTATATATTTTTTTTTATTCAAAAAAAGAATTTATTTTGTTATGCTTTTAGTCGTTTGAGTGTGGAAGTAAACTGATTCTGTTAATGATGATTTATAATAGGAAGTGGCGCAAGAGCGTTTGCGAGTAGCGCACGAGCAGCGTCTAGCGCTGGAGGAGATGCTGGAGCGTCGCGGCAGGGAGACTATCGCCCTTTATCAACACAACTGCGCTCTTCGGCTCGCGGCCAATAACGCCCTCGCTGAATTGCAGGTATTTCATTTGTTGACCAAAATACACTCGACTCGATATATAAGTATATCATACTAGCTTTCCGCTAGCGGCTACGTCCGCATGGTCCCCAGGGAACTGATTATTTGGATATCGTTTTATATTATGAGACGGATATAATTACAAAGACAAAGTAGTATTAAAAAAAAAGTTTCCGAAATCAAACTAGATGTCGCTACGGTACTTTCTTGATTTCTCCGTGACAACCCTTCCGGTTTTCTTTCATGTATAAAAGTAAATTGATTTTCAAAAGTCAATAGAGAACTCATATTCTATTTTTTTTCCTATTTGTAATGATATCTAAGTTTCGAACATTGCAAATTTCAGTTTTTTAACATGTTAGTTAAAAGGAGCGGAAAAGACTATCTTTGGTGCATTCGTGCTTTCTTTTTTTTATACTTCCTTATTGAATAAGAAACAATGGTTACCATTGCAACGTTTTAAGTTTGAACTTTCACTCCCGTTTTCATCCCTTTATTTGCTATTTTTCGGAATAAAATTTAGCTTTTAAAATAGTACTTTAAGTTTATCACTAATAACGAACGAACATGAAATGTAGAAACCGAACACATATTTTTAGACCTGACTATAAAGTGAATAGCGCACCAGCACCTCTACCGCGGAATTGAAGCCCTGACTGATGTGTCAAAACAGTGAGTAAGCTTGAAAGATCAATCGGAGCGTTAGTTACGCGGTAGAACAGCTGACTATCCAAACGTCACTATATATCTTACCGATTTTAGGACTTGAATGTTAAAAACAAATAATTGAGGCTCGGATTGTTATTTCAAAACTACACGTGGTATTAGACAAGTTGAAAATATATTAGATATATTCGTAAAATTTTACTTTTTTTTTATATATATTAAAGTAATTTAAGCTTAGCATTGTCCGTTGCAGTCAGAGTTTGTTTTCCGCTAATAAATTATAATTTTCTATTAGTTTCGATAATATGTCGTGTTAATTATGTAATGTGCAGAAGCTAGCTGCTCAGTGCGAGCGGAAGATGTGTGCGGCGCGACTCGCTATCACAGCGGCGGAGGAACGAGAGCAGGCCGTCAAGAATCGTCTGCCACTAGCGGTCAGTGTACATTTACATTAATTATTACTAGCTGTATCTGCGACTTCGTTAGCGTGGAAAGCCTGTAGCCTAAGTTACTCCTTATTACATAAGCTATCTGCCCGTAAAAGTCTCGTCAAAATCGGCCCAGCCGTTTCAGAGATTAGCCGGAACAAATAGACAGACAGATTTTTTAAATAATTTTTAATTTGGTATATGTACCGTGTATATGCATTTAGTAAAAGCGATTATTTTAATATTCCAAACTAACACTCACACTTATTTAAATATGGATTTTTATTTAAGTTGTCCAATGTCGAACGATTATCTCAAATAGTGGCTGAATAGCCTATGTTCTAATATGTAATATGTTTGGATTAAAGGCAAAAGTAATGTCATAAATATTCAAATAGAAATGTCATTTTTATTAGTATTCAGTACAAAACGGAGAGGCCAAGATGTTGGTGCTGAGTACGGATAGCAATAAATTGCAAGAGGCGAAACGTGGCGGATCCCTGGAAGATGCCGTGCGAGCACTTCCCGATTACATCAAGCTGCTTCTGCCCCAACATTTGCTCAACAAGGTGAGTGCGTTAAAGTCTCATGTATATACATATATTTTGAAGTAATAAATATCTTTTTAATACTGTTTAATGTAATAAGTATCTGTAAAATAACGATATTGCACAAAAACTAAAATTTACATTAAAATAAATGTGACATAAAAATAAATGTTCTGATTTTGTGTATGCTGATTATCTTAAAATGATTCGAAACACGACCCGTCATGATGTGTCGTCACACCGGCAGCATCTGTTAGATTATTCTTAAACAGATGCCTATTGTTATTTGTGATAAATCAAATAATCTGATTTATAATAATTAACGCGACGATGGCTCTTATTATGTGGTTGTTATTATTTAATATATAAGGGCTCTTATTACGTGGTTGTTATTATTTAATCTATAATACTCTATCTATGCATATGTTGTGTGTTTATATCCAAATGACGTCATAAATATATAGGACAGCGTTATAAAACGTTATTCGCGGGTATAAAAAAAGTACAATGAAATAATTTTCCGTTCCATTAATATTCTTTGAAGTGTTTTTTGTCAAAGTAATTTAAAATAAATGTTAGTCTCATATTGTAACTTGTTTATTAACAACATTTATTCGTGGGTTCGAGTCCCATTTAAGAGTACCTGGGGTTGGTGTATTTTTAAGCATTTATCATTAAGAATATTTTCAAGGACATCAAAACTGGTCAAATATAATAACATTTATTTGTTTTACTCTTTAGGTCGGCATAAAATTGATAACTGCCGAGGGCAAGTCGGCGAAAGAATTCGAGACGATACTAAAAAAGAACAACATTTACACCACCGAAAATATGGGTGAGTCAAAAGTCCTAATAATTTAGATTTGTTTTTACATAATAACACATCATGTTCCGCTTGCTATAATTAATTTCGAAATATATTTTCAACTGTTTCATATACCCAATCTATAATGCTACGCACGCACTGTTGATTTTTGGTCATTTTTGACTTGTTTCTGTCACCGTGATCCTGTCATTTGTTTGGAAGTCATTTAATTGTAATGTGTTCATGTGCGTGCGCCACCGTAAGAATTCTTATGGCACGGGGATAGAACACAAAAAGTTACTGTGACAGAATGTCACCAATGCGACCATAGCTTTATCCTAAGTATATGTCCTAATTATTCTTTATCTTCGACCCATAGATATTTTATTTAATAATAGCGGACGTATTAAAGTAAGTTCAGATTAGGAATAGGTGCTCTAAACCGGCGTTAGGGTTGATACCACAGAACACATAAAGACGTTAGAACGGCCTTGTGGGCGTGGCAGTGTAGCCACGATCCCGGACAAATGTACAGGATCGTGACTTCACCACGCGATCGCGATGTTTAGTCATTCACGAACGCGCGCGCTGTAAGTAGTGTGAAACACGCCACTAAAAGTGTTAAAAATGCCGACTTGCGCAGTTATTAATTGCAAAATAAGAAGCCCATTCTCAAATAGGTCCAAATGAAGGATTTCTTTCCATTAGTAAGAAGAACACTTCTCAAATTTAGTATTTTTAGTCGAAATTCGTGAAAAGTTATCAAAAGTGTGAATCGCGAAAAAAAAATTCCAAGAAAATATACAGAAGTGTGCATATTTATTACATTGCATCGTACTAAGCACGTAATGTAAAGAACATCGCGAAATCATCGTTTTAAATAGCAACATAATAGATTATGGTAGATGGGTAGTGAAGTGCCTGGAAACATTTAATCGATTCTTGGTGTGTTAGTAAAAACTAAATAAAAGTATGGACATTAAAAATAGTGGTAATAAAAAATAAATTTAATCAGACATTAACCATATTGACTTCGTTTGGTATGCGTTTGTATATTAATGTAATAATGAGTGTGGTAATAAGTCTGTTTTTATATTCTTAATATTGTAACAGAATATTAGTTTTTTTTTTTATTTTATTTTGAACCATTATCAACAATACTTTTTAAATCATCAAAATCCGTTCGGGATAAGTTCCAATAACATTTATTGTACTAATTGTATTTTTTTATTTTGTATATATTTATTTACTTTGTATTGTTTGTCAATATAACTCGTTTTATTTAAACGATGTCGCCGATCTTATCTGTTTACTTGATAAGAAATCGAGTAGCGTAACTTAAAAAAAAATACCTACTATTATTATTAATAAACAAACATATTCATATGCAAATAAATATTTAAGCTCGACTAGTACCGATTCAATGTTAGTTCATTAGTAATTTAAATATTTCTTATTGAATCAACCAACTAATTAAGAATTAATATCTAAAGAAAAAAGATAATGTCACTGTACGGTTTAACACCGAACATTCCTCCGCGTCAGCATTTACGCCACACTACAATTAAGTATTAATATTTCTTTTTAGTTCGCTATTGCCTAACAAGTCGGCTGCGCGTCTCAATCACCTACTTACTTAAGTGTGACATTATCAAACTATTATTGTAAAGTATATTGTGTGCAATTAATCTATTAAAATCAAGCAGTGGTTTTTATCATCTATCAAGATAGGTGTGTGGTGCAAGACCATACAGTCACATTTAATCAATACAATTCAAAGTATATCCAAAATAATATAAAGAAATCATTACTCTAGTATCCTTTCAATTAATCGGCTTGTTGTTTTTCAATATCGATAGTAAATAACTTAATGTCAATCACTAGTGTGATATTTCAAATTAAAATGACTTTTACACGTTTATTGCGCACTATAGACGTCTGTTATGGTTGAGCGTGATTGGTTGTAGTTATATTGGAGCGTTCTGATTGGCATATTTAAAATGCAAGTGTGTGTATATATTTTGTATAATTGGTCTAATATTTCGTCTGATGTACGGCGGACTAAAAGTGGGGCAAGAATGGCGATATCGGTTTTCGTACAAAGGATGCATGATCGCCTTTCTAACCTCTTTTCCGTGTTCTGTGGTTGATACGTAGGGAGAAGCGAGAGAGGTATATCATGATCGTGCAAAATGGTACGTGGTCTCTGGCTACTCCGCCGCGAAAAAGGCGTGAAATACAGTAAACGAAAATAAATACCTATTATTTTTCTGGTAGTATTTAATATACTATTACCTGATAATTACACTTTTATGCTTATTATATTTATAATATTGTCCAAACTAATTTAAAAAAAAACAAATGTTTTATGCTCGTTGTCTCGTGACCGCAAACAGCGCGTGACGTCACGCTCTTCTTACTTCATATCAGGACTTAGACGTAAAAAAAGCTAGATACAAAAAAGGAACGCGAAATAATCTTTATTCATCCATTCGAAAATTCGAAATGTAACGATAGAATGGACATCGCTGCGTTTACGAAATTCTTTTGATTTTAATCGTTTGGTGAATGCCGACCTCCATAGCCGAGTGGTTCGCACGCCGGTTTCAAGGTGTCTCGCCATCTCTGAGGTCCCGGGTTCGATTCCCGGTCGGGTCAATGTACAAAATGAACTATTCTATATTGTCTCTGGTCTGGGTGTTGTGGTACCTCCGTTGTCTCAGATACTCCATAATACGAGAGCTTTAGCTGCTCATCCTGGAATCTGAGCAATGTATGTGATGTTGTTTAATATTTATATTTATTTATACTTAATAGAGAAGCAAGATGAGGAGGAGGCCGAAGTGTCCGTCGGCGGCAGCGGCGAAGAGAAGTCTGGTGAGCCTGACTCTTGTACGGATGATGAGAAACAGTCGCGTTTGAATCATGGTATGTCTATCCCACAGAACAGATAAAAAGGTAGAACGATTAAGTGGGCGGGGTCGTGCGACCATCCATATACCCAAACGGTCATATGAACGTCACGTTGCTCAAATATCCAGTGCAGTATTTGCACAATGTCATAACGGTCTATGGTGCGTCGCGAAATACGAAAATATGCCGAATTATGCCGTTATTACGCATCGTTTGCGTAGTGAAAATTTAAGCTTAATAGGGATTTCATTCCATCGGTAAGTAAAATATATTGGTTATATAGACATATCGAGTATATCGACATATAATCACAATTTTTTTTTCGGCTGACATGGCAGTTTCGAAATGATAAATTAATATATTATTTTATTATCTTAACCTAATATATGAACAATTATCTGATTATCGATATCAAATTGTGAATAACTGGGCACTTCACTATTTCAGTGTTGACAGAAGCGTAAAATTCTTTGCATTATATTTTGTAAAATTATTTTAATGTATATACGTCGCGCAATGACATTTTTATGTAATTAAACATGTATTTCTAATGTTTGCGCATTAACTTATTTAATATCCGCGCAGGAAACATAATATTTAGAACTAACAAAAGTAATTGTGCATGTTTTTATTATAGCTAGCCATAAATTTTGTGTATTACTGTAAAATCGCCTGTATTAATAGGCTAGTATACACTAATTTTGCTGAAAGTTTTGTAGCCAATGGTAGCATCGCTCTCTTTGTGAGCTGAATAGGTGAAGTTTTTTTGTCTGTGTGATATCTGGCACACGCGATCCTAGTACAAATGTTAGTATGTTATTATTCTAACCTTTTTATCTTTTCTGTGGTCTACGCGATTACTATATCTGACATCAACTGTACTTTTTACATTATGTTCTAAGATTTATTTTTAAGCATAAAGCTGAGAATGTTTTTTTGTGTTTTACTATTGTTGTTCTAATATATTCTAATATATAAAGTTTAACAACAATACTCAACGACTGCTAGGAGCAATTCTAACAGAGACCCACGACGCGGGTCTAGTGCGGATGTTGGGTGTTAATGACTGCAGAACAGCTGGGACCTGAGTAGTTCGGTGGCGTAGTGGATAAGCGCCACGGCCAACGATAACTGTTGTTAAGCTACTTTTACAAGGGTCAGTCACGGGATGGGGTGACCAAAAAATTATTATCTCGCGTTATTCTGTGCCTCGGAAAGCACGGTAAAGTTTTTGGGCCGGGCGGCATCTCCAGTCGTTGATACCCTCCGATCCGCGTTGCGCCAGCGTGGAGGGTCATAGCCCACCTTCCTTAAACACTCGAAGGCCTGAGCCCCTGCAGTGGGAACGTAAAAGAGATGATGATGACAGCTTTGCTGGCTTTACGTGCCTTCCGAAACATTGAGCAGCTCGAGAAAGTCGGTCTTAAATTGTATTGTGTTTAGATGTCATATATTTATTTTCATTCATTGTAGATGGGCATTCTGAGAATCCAAGTCCGTTGGACGGTGAACTGCGGCCCGACAACAATGCCAACTCCACATACAATGAAAACCCTGCTGAAGATTCGCCGGTAAACGATATTCAATGCTCCATTGGACTTTATTTTTGTCTTATTTCCTGAAGAGAAACGCAGTTACGATAGAACACAATTTACTTATTTTTTTTATATTATTGGAAGAAAATGCTAATTGCTAATCAATAATTTCTTACTTTTAAATGTCTAATTTAAAAAGGCGCCCTTTAATGATTTAAGTAAAGTTAAAAGTTTGTTTATGTTGATATTAAAGTCAAGATATGTTCAATTTAGAACAACAGTTTTATTCATGGAAGATTGATCTTTGATCAGGATAACATTTGTTCCGCCTTTATGTCGTGTGCCAAGATAAATTTGCTCTAGACTACCTAAATTTGTATTGTGCATACTACTTGTGTCAATTAACAATAAATATGAATGTCATGGCGTATTCATTAATTCAATAGACTGCGTAAATGTGTGATAGGAACAAATTTAGGACGATTCAATGTGTGTGTGTGTGATCTCAATAGGTATATCTGAATAAAATATCATCGTCACCAGCCTATTTACTGGCCTTCCATTTGGCCAGGCCAAATGGAATAAGATCAAATCTTTAATAGGGAGAATAGGCCACCACCGCAGGCGCAGTGCGGATTAGTGGGTATTAACGATTGCAGATGCAGACGGGAACGACGGCTTAACGTGCCTTCCAAAGCATGGAGGAGTTCGATATAATAATTTTTTTGGTCCCGTGTGACCGACTCTCGCGAAAGTTGCGTAATAAAATGGCAACCGTATCGTAGCCACTTCGTCATCGGGCTCCTCCATCTGAATAAAGTACAGTTCGGCATGTAAGTAAACAGCGGCAGCGCAGTAAGTGTAAATAGGTATCGAAGGGTGTGAAGTTTGCGGGGAGGGAAACTTAAATGTAGCATCAGAGGCAAGTGTCTGCAATGCTTGACGTTTCTCTACAAATTAAATTCCCTAAGTACACTCAAGAAATAAAGTGACTTATTACTATACTGAACTTTGTCGGTGTTGTGAAATTTTTTGGCTTTTAAAAATTAAAAACTCAGGTGTAATATTTCATTAAACAACATCAAAAATATATACATACATAATATATTTGTTACCTATAACGAACACTCCTATCATTATTGACATTGTAGTGATTTGATTTTTTATATATAAAAAAACACAGCTAGCAACCCAAAATACATATGAACCAATCACAACACCTCACAACGACAACACGGTCGATCTGTCATTTTAGTTCCACAAATAGCCGCGAGACTTTTTTCGCCAGTCTGACTTTATATTTTCATTTTATCCAGAGCAAGGCGGGTGTGGAGTACGCGAATGTTTTGCGCGTGATGGCCGGTCTTAATGAAGAGATCCGGGCATTGCGCGAGCGTTTAGCGGCGCGCGGGGCCGAGTGTGAGCAGCTGAGAGCGGCTAGAGATGAATTGATCGCTGCCCAGGTACGGATGCAAAGTTATATCGACGCTCAATAATAATATAATAACTATCATTTGCCCGCTTATATTATACTTTGAGCAGCATTTCTAAGGAATATTTATTAATTATATCGTGTAAAATACCTGAAATAAAGTTTCATTCTCTATTTTATAAATGCAAAGTCTCAGCCCGATCGGTTTAAAATTGACAAAGTTACATACAAACTTTCATCCCCTATTTTATCCCCTTGGGGATAGAATTGATCAGTCTTTTCTTAGGAGATACGTCATAGTAGCTTTATGCATGTAAATACTCAGCCCGATCGGTTTAAAAATGACAAAGTTGATCATGGATGCCTATTTTGGGCTGTGCGTCGATAGATCACTATGTCAGTCAGTCACCTTTGAGTTATATACCTATAGTTGGATAATATACGCGTAGTATAAAATAAAATCGCGGGCCGCGACGCTTATCCGCTACTCGATATATCGTCGCCCAAACATATCGATATAAGACCAAAGAGTAAATATATATATATATATCAGTTGTTTAAATAACAGCCAACGGCTGATTTTCACATGATATATTTTGTAAAAAGCTAAACAGTTTTCTCCGTTACGTTTAGGATTAGTGAAGATCTTTCCTTGAAATTTGAAATAGTTTTATTTCAAATACTATTGTTTGTTAATTACATAAAAATGTGTTATTCTCAGTTCATTCCTAATTTATTTACAGTGACAATGACAAACTTTCCTAATTTATCCCATTTGAACGTCTTTTAACACGAAACAGGAATAGGCTTCACGGAAGTAGGCCATGCAAGCTGTTCTGAATTTTAATATCTGCCACAAATTTATTAGCATTAATTAAAAACATAATAAAACGTTATTACAAAGAAGATATTTTGGACTTACCTAAAAATTATCGGTAAAATATCGATATATCGACTTTGTGTAACGATACATCGATATAGCGATATTTTTATAAACTTTTCCAGGAGCCGCCCCCCGCACCACTTGCGCTGCCCCCCGCTGCGCCTCCCGCTGATGCCGAAGATTCGCCACACCGAGCTCAACTAGCCGACTTACAGGTACTACTCGTTCGATTTTACATGAAATAGGGCATCAGGTGTCATGTTAATTCATACGAGCTATACAAACACTTGTTATTCACTTAATATATACAGGGTTATTATATTTTTGATTAATTTTGCATTCACAATGCCATACTGAAAATTATTCTTAATGCAAAATGCTTAAAAAATCCACTTGGTCCCTGGCACCCTGAGATGGGAATCGAACCCACGACCTTTCGCAATCCGGGTGACTGCTCTAACCACTGAGCTATCCAGGACCTAACAGGATTGGCAAATTTTTCAAGCACTTGTTTCTTTTTCGCTACTACAGAATGGTACTACATTGTATTTTCGTGGCATTTATACGTCTACGTATTTAGTAGACGCTACGAACGTACGCTGTGTGGACTACCTACATTATTTTTGCATGCAAAAAAAAAATTACGAATTCGGTAAATTCAACACCCATGCCACGAGCGACGAAGCAGGACTTGAACTTAGTATTGGTGTTTTACAATTTATCCCTATATAATTGAACTTGGAACTCATTAATTAGTATGTGGAACCTGCTCTCAAGTAATCACATTCTTTGTCAGGCCCAACTGAGCCGTGCTACTGCTGTGGAGGAGGGTCACCTGACTGAGATCCAACGTCTATCAGCTGAAGTGGCCGACATGCAGGCAGAACTCACCTTCCGACCTACGAAAGCCGAACATGACCAGCTCGTCGCACTCGCTGATGATCTACGAAAACTTCTCGCTGACAAGGTCATATATATTTATATAATTTACCATGAGCATGTTACAGTGCCCGGCACGAAAGTAAACCCTGCGCTGTAAACATAAATAGATATCGAAACAGGTGAAGTGTACGGAAGGAGAAACTTAAAAAATAGCAACATAGACTAGTGTCATCCTGAGCTTGACGTTTCCCTATAAATTCTCTTCCCGCCATTTGCAATTGATTTTTTTTTATTGATAAGACACTCAAGAAATAAAGTGATTTTTAAAGTGACTATACTTAATTGTGACGTGTAATTATTAGTTTATTTTTTTATTAGTATCCAGAAAAGAACGTGTAATAATTGCCATGTTATCATTGATATGAGTGACATGAGTGATAATAATATGCAATAATTACCCCAAAATGTTGGAAATTTTAACTTATTAAAATGATTAATAAAATATCCTAAACATAAGTGTTCAGTAATAAAATGATATATGAAAAGCATTACAGTACTTAATAGCTCATTATAGGTCTCGATCAGCTAAAATCGCTTAACTTACAAACTACTCTTGACCTAAATAATTAACACTAAGAAATAACGTGTTGAATAATTAAACTAATGGTGCTATTATAGCAAAAACGAAATTTATAAATTTATTGGTAGAGAATAAATCACAAAGTTATAGGGAAATTTAATTTTTTAATTTTTTTCTTGTAATTCTACCTTTTATTTTACAGAAAAAAAAGATATGTAAATTACTTTATTGCTGAAGGAATTATGCTGCACTTTAACAATTATCATAATAGTTTGCGAGTAATTATATACGTTGAAACCTATTTTGCCGTACAATTTGCTACCCTATGTTGCTATTTATCACACTGTAAATTTTTATTAATAGTACACAGTGGAAAGGAATACATCTTCTTTTTTAATAAAATAATTATGAATAAATATGTAATGAATTTATTAAATTTAAATAAAATTTATATTTATATTGAATTTATACTTAGTTATATACAAATTAAAATAATTAAACGACTAAAATACTTTTTGCCAGAAAGATCAAACAAAGACGCTAATTTTGGTACATTTTCTTGCTTATCAAAGATAATGTAACTACTCCTCTTGCTCACTAAAGAGACACTAAAATCGTTATTTTTTATATTTACCCACCCACTAGCGTCGTCGCAACGTCAAAGATAATAATCATCCAATATAAAACCATTTGGACTATGTATTATAACGAGTTATTTAAAAAATGGAAAGCAACAACATTATAAAAAGCAAATGTAATGTTCAAAATCTTATCTTTCTTTGTGAGTATAATTTAAGCATGATTTCACTACCCAAACAGTCATTTTCATATAAAAATACCCTGACAACCGAGCGCGGCTTAGACCATTGTTATTCTGTCGATAATACCCGTCAAAACAAATGTTATGGCGGGTCGTAGTGGTATTCACTTTTTGGGATAAATGTTGTTAATCGGTAAATGCCAGTATGTACACATACTGCCCATTTGTCTTCATTAAATTATTCTTTTTTTAGTTTTTAATCTAACCTGATTATACATGCGCAGTGGACGCCATATCGGGTTTACTTTCGTGCCGGGCACTGTAAATTATGTTAGTAAAGTGGTTAGGATAACATAACACCCACCACATTTGATTTTGTGGAACTTCATATCAAATGATTACAAATGATGATGATAATGTGATCAGTGGTTGTGCTTCGAGCTTTCTTTGTATCGTCTCTGTTCGTATAGGCATCGTATCGGCTGAAATAACGTATCCTATACATTCCTTACAGTTCCCTATAGTTGCACAAACGTCCATTAAAACTGTCATTCGTTTAAAGCGACATTTACCTAATCAAATTTGACTTTAAGAGCTTAAAGGCGTCATTTATATCAGTTTATTAATTGCATCTAAGACTGCACCATCTGAACCATCGAGCTAAAAACGCACAATAATTATTGTTTAGATCAATCAGTAAAGAAATTAGGACAGTGCGGGTAATGAGCTGGTGATATCATTAACATTGTTAACGTTTTAGGGTCATGGCCACCTCTTGCTATCAAAGTGTGTCTCGTGTTAGTTAGTTTGTTGTCCTTATTACATATTATTTAAATAAAAGTGGGTCACCAGATAATTAGTAATTGTTTCTTTTGTGTCAATTATACACAAACGAAAATAATAAGAAAAACAATATTTTATTAAAATATTTATTTACTTATTAATTAAAATATATAAGATTATAATCGCGTTAAATTTTGTAACAAACTGACCTCGATTCTGTAAAGATCCAGACCCGAATTCGAATTCACTCATGTGTCCGAATACACGTCATTTAGTTTAGAAATTCAATTTATTCCATTTTTTGTATAAAAATACAAAACAAAATTGATTGATTATTGTCTTAGATATTCTATTCCTATGTAATTTCACTTCACTTATGCCACGAAACGTTATTACCAGTTCAAGGTTGAGTGGACGCCGGTTTTTTGAAGTGAACTTTCTGAAGGGACACCTGAGTGAATTCAAATTCGGTTTAGGATTTTTACAGAATCGCAGGGCTGAGCATATTTACAACTTACCGATAGGGTATTTTTCAATAAAAACATAATTTTATTTATTTTTCTCTTTTATTTTTAAACATTTTAAACATTGTAGATAATTTTTAATAGAAACTTAAATGTCGAATTTCTCAATTAGATTTTAAACCTTCACATGTTGGGAGAGTTCAAAATAAATTGTGGTAATTTGACAGATTGTTGTGACCTGACGTGCTGCTGTTGTGTACTTGTAGTTTGTCTACTAAATTTAAAAATACTATTAATATTTAAATATGAAATTACACTACAATTTTATTAGTAAATGTGTTCTTTAATAACACTAAATCGCTGTTGTAAACTAAAGCCTATGTCAGAAGCATAAGAGTCAGATTCCTATATATGAAACAATTTTCATGAACAGATCAGTATTTCCGAAGATTAAGTTCACAACAAAAAATAAATTGAAATTTTACCTATCTTATAATACTAATATTATCAATTATAATGACTATCAATTGTTATGTCCAGTCCGGTTTGATGATAGCTAAAAGCTTCAATTCCAGGAGGTGGAACTGGAACGGGTGCAGAGCAACAAGTCCTCAGTGGACGTCAGCATAAATGTGTCCCCGGAGGAACTGTGCGAGGACACGATTGATCCCAAGAAGATTTCCGCCGAGATCGACGAGATGTTCCACCTGGACTACGACGACGATGTCGACGAGGAGACCGACTCGGCCGCCACCGAGAGTACCGAAGTTATGAAGGACGAACGCGCGCCCGTCGAGTACGTGAAACTGGGCGAGGAGGAGAGACTGCGGGTTACTATGCAGGTGATTGGACATTCGTCATCAGCCCTTTTATGTCCCCACTGCAGGGTTCAGGCCTTCTTTATTTATGGCTAAGGAGGATGGGCTATGACCCCCCACGCTGGCCCAATGCAGATTGCAGGGTATTAACGACTGCAAATGCAACCGGGACAAACGGCTTTACGTGCCTTCCGAAGCACGGAGTAGGTCGAGATAATAATTTTTTGATCACCCATCCGGTGACCGACCCTTGCGAAAGTTGCTTAATAACAATCACGGGCCGCTATTGAACTTTATCACGTACTTTTCATGTCCTTATTGCGTATTCAACACTGCTTGAAAAAGTACTTGTAAGCGTAAATTTTAATGTACCTTAATATTCCATAAAAAATATTTCGGAAAAATAAACACGTTTACTTGCCTTAAAATTAAATCAAAATATAAACTACAACCCGGAAACAAGCTTTCTGCCATATAGATGACGTTATTTCGATATGTACAGTCAACAGTATATCAAGCTATACTAAACTGTCAAATTTCTTCACTTGGTTTAACCTTTATATATTGGGGGTACAATTCAAAATGAAATGTGGAAATTTGACATATTTTAGTAGCCTGACTTGTAGCTATGTGTACACAAAACAGACTCATACCGTATATCAGTTAATTGAAAAGATCTCCATGAGACAAGAACAGGGTTATCTAAGGGCGTCGCTACAAAATTAAAACTTTTAACTAAATTAAAGGCATATTTTTTTCTACCCAAGCAACATCGAAAATTAATTTTAACATTTACTTCAATGTAAATTTTAGTTTTTCTGCAAACTTATCTTATTTTTCACAGCCGCAACTACAAATTGTTAGGGTACAAGCATCTCTATTGTTAAAATAATAAAGGCAGGATGGGTCTTAAATCGTAAAGGTGCCTTCAGAGGTTTTCACGTCATCCACTTTCGCGTTGCATATAAATTTCCAAATTATATATTGTTTTTCTTCTTTATATCACACAGAACGGCTCGCTGCACGCTCTCGAAGAGGAACTCGTACGAGCCAAAGAACGCTGGGCGGAGGTATCTGAAGATCGAGCTCGTCTCGCAGCGGAATTGGCATTACTCCAGAACAAAGGATCGATGCGTTTGAATGTGTCTCACGCGCTTGCGTTGCTAGTACCGCTTCTAGCGGCTTGTGTGTATTATGCGATGTTGCCATATATATCTTGATGTACCGCCACCTGGGATCCTCCAGGGTACACGTAGCCCGCTCATTAACCTCCCAAGTGAATAGAGTAAACGTAATTATTGACGCTCCACCAATTTTCGACACGCTAGCTAACAGGGTATTCATCGATATTCTAGAAGACTATTTCGTCTTATCTTGCTCTATCTTAAGTATTTTTTGATGTTGAAAAAATAGGATAGAGTACGACGTAGTTTACAAGATGTTTTAAGAGTAAACCTGCTGAATGTGAACGTCGATGAAGTGATCTGTATAAGTTAGATCACCTTAGTACAAATATTAAAAAATCCCCATGAAATGTGAAACTAGTGATTAGTTAGATGGGGGAATTTAAATTCTCTTGTATGGATATAACTTTTATATTACAGAAAAGAGAATTATTATAATACATGTTATTATTAATATTAAATATATATGTCAAATGAGCATTAGGAATGTATCTACATATCTTTCTTTTCTTCTGTATCTACATAAAACTATTATTTATATTACTATAATTTACAAGTTTCCTCATTTTAAAGCCATATATATAAATAATATACTCGTTGGATATAAAGTATTGTCACTTCATCGACGCTAAAAAGCTTCGTGCGTGTCAATAATTGGGCAAATGGAGTTCGTTTGCTGTAGTTTAAAAAAAAATAATAATAATATGGTACTGTTCAGTCAACATTTCAGAGTTTATCGGTAATTTTATTTAGGTATTTTTAGTTTATTCACTATCACTTGTTTTATTTTTGCGTATTATTTCGTATTCTATTTAGGTGTCAATAATTGAATGTTTCTACCCTATATTGGAGAGGTATGCATCGGGAAGGGACTCGCGTCGGCGTTTCTGCTTTATTGTGCCGTTTATATGACCGTCGGCGTTTCGGTCGAAGGCGTCCCGTGTTTTATAGATTTTAGATTGTAATTTTAGCGATATATTTATTACCAGCGAACGAAACGGGTAGAGCTATTTATGTTATGCTAATAAGGGTTGGTGCATATCGGAAGATTTGATGAACGTACCAACGGAAGTATGCGTTAGTACGCTCTACGTACTGACCAATCATCGTTTGAGTGTGCAATATGATATTCATCGGGCTGATTTGCATCAACCCTTAAGATATACTCGCGATTCTAGGATTAAAATAAAAATTTTTAGTATATAGAAATTTTACAAAGTACGAATGAACTTCCACAACTACGAATTTGTTTAAAGTTTATGGATGACTTTAATACCCTCGGATGCCAGAGTCGTATCCATATTAACATATACGTTTACAGAGATAACTCTACCTACTTGGTTCACTGATTTATTATTGTAGTGAATGTTTATTTATCGCCTTCGATCCGCCGTTCTATAAGTAAATCCGGCCGCCGCCGCCGGTTCCGCGATAGTTCGAGTTTCTATCGAAAGTGCCATTTCCTTATAGCGACGCGCCACAGATTCAGACGCGGACGGTCCGTGCACATTGTTATCGCGTGTATATATCTCTAGTGTTGTTTCTGTAAAAAGTGTCAGTATCGTAATTTGAATAGATATAAATCAACTGTTGATATCTGCCATAATAAATAAATGTAAATTTTTTATATTAAGGCCTAACGACTGTCCTAAGTTATAAAATTATTGTTGTACGGTGTTCTACCGCGATCGTCGGCCGAGCGGTGATCACTCGTCGCGCGAAGGACCTCATTTCATTTTCGCTTTCGGCTGTCGGGAGCTACATATCATGAGTAGGTTACGTGTGAGCATTTACTCGACTCGGCAGTTACTCTTCGAATTGTTTGCATTTTTCTAGTCTTTAGAAACGAGTTAGACTTGGTTGCATGACGTTTTGCGCTCTTGCGTCTATACACTTTTATAATATTCTTATATTAAAAATTGTCTTGATTTGATGACGTTTGTTTTGTGACGGTCAACGGTTATCCGACGATTGTCATCGTTTTTGACGTAATAGAGAGGTTTTTATATAGATAATTTTTGATTTAATAGTCGCGGGTACTCGAGATTAGAGTTAACGTTTAGTGCATGCAAGTTTGCCGTTTGGTTGAGTTATTTTTGAGTGCCAGTTAATTTGGGTGCCGGTCGTTATCAGATGTATTCTAACAGTTGGCGTTCAGTGAGTTTAGTACAAGGCAAGGTACTCGACGCTCTGTGGTCTTCCGCAAGCCTTTTTTTAATTCGGTCGACCCTTGATCGCTTTGCTCTGTGATGTGATGGCCAATAGATAATTTTGTAACAAACTTGTATAACTAACGATTTATTGTAATATCTTTAGAATAACTATAACTTTACCACGTTGAAGTCCACTGTCTATAAATATTTATTATTTTTTATTGTTGCACAGATTTTGTTACATTCAATGTTATATTTTGTGTTTAAACCACCTTATTGTAAATAGATTAATATATCTTATGTGTATTCGTTCGTATGTTTAGTTTCAGCTATGGAAGAATTTGTTTTATTATATGAAGTAAAATTAATAACGCATTCGATGTGGATGTACTGATAAATTTATTGGAAATAATATTGATTTGTTTAAAATATTGTTTTAATCGACAACCCCTATTATTGTTATGAGAAAAAAAATGCCCTTCTTAGACTTAACATTTGTACACAGATGAAACTAATTGTTGTAGAATTGAACCCTATTTTGATCATTTAAGATACTTTTTGAACACTTTGTAGAACTGCTATTATGATTCCAGTTGTCTTATTCCTAATTCTAGTAACTACAGAAGCTGCGATATATTTTTTAATTTAGTACCTTTATTAAACGAAAGGGCGATTACAACATAATACATAAAATATGTCGTTATTTAATTTGTGGTGGGGCCTCGATTTATACAGCGAATTATCTTTTATATCCTAAAATTCAGTCGCATATAACGCTATTTATTGCGATTAAAGACGTTATTTAAATAAATCTGAGAAAATTTGTAGTACTAGTAGTATTCAATTTACTGTAGAATTAATAACATTTTTTTTTAATTTACGCAAGTACATTATTTGCTCCTTAACTTACAATAACAAAAAAGGTTAGAATTAAAATCGTAAATCAGATAATGTAGTGACCAGACGTTTGCAATGTATCAGGTTAACAGTATTACTGCTTTTTCTCTTAATAATATAAAGTACTACTAACAACATATCAACTCATAACCACTTTGGTAAGTGGAAATTCAACCTGGAAGTGGATTTTTTTATATGTATTAATATTTAAACGTGTCATTAAAAATATTTTTCATTTATAACATATCGTTCATATTTTTGTTTTGTAAGAAAAACAAATAGAATCAGCATTGCGTTCGTATGACGCAGGCGCTAAATAACATACTGACTAACGTAGATACGTCACCAGCCCACGGCGGATACGTGTTCACTGAGTCTATTTTAGAGATAGCCTATGACACGCATGGGTGATTGTTGGTTTGTTTGTATATTTCGTTAACTAACTATGTTATTATGAACCATATTTAGAGAAATACGTCCCCTGACGTATTTTATTGCAGTTTCTTTTTTGTTAAAGTGTTAGTGAGTATATAGGCAGTGATGGTGGTGGCGTTCAGGGAAGCGACCACCTAACACTAGTCATGATTCTAGCTATAGTATACGAAATCTTGGCAATGTTAAGTCGAAATTACGTTTCATTTACTACTACTGCACTACTTAAACATGTACTTTTTTTAAAAACAAACGAATGATAAAGAATGGTGATTGTAGATTTGAAACCAGCGTTACGAAATTAGTAATTTTGTCCCAAATTAATAGTAAAAAGACATATCGTCATAAGATTTCATATCCCATGGCTAGAGAGTTAGACGGTCGCTCTGTAGGCATAAATGAAACTGTGCTATAAGACGACTACCTTCATCACTCTTAGATAATAACCTATTGTTAGACCTACTGAATATACATATAAAATTTCATCAAAATGGCTCAAACCGTTTTAGAGAAGTACGAGTAAGATAACTAAAACCATATTATACTGTGCTAAAATTGTGGCACAAGAATTTTATATATTTTAGTATAGTATATACCAATATGTAGTTCCAGCAATAGTGTTTTAGCTTTCTACTAGTTATTAATCTTGCTGCCTATATGTGCACAAATTGCACGATACACAACGCGAAACGAAGAGGAGGTATGTACTTACTTTGCGCTATATTGGTTGCCCAAAATGTTTTATAGTTTTGTTTATCGTTATGTTATAAACAGCCTCGAACTTAGCGTCTCGGTCTTCGCGTAGAGCGCAGTGCTATTATAAGGTAGGCTCAGTGATATAAAACCTTTGTTTTTTTTAATGAAAAATGTTTAAAAAACTTTAGTTTTTTCACGTAAAAGCGTGCGCACCGTAACGCCGTGTTAGAGGTTGTTTTTGTAATAAAAAAGCGCTGCAGTATGGATCGAACGAAAGCCAGCTTTTAGTAGTATTTTGAACAGAAAAACATTAAAAAGCAATTAAGTTGTGTGCATAACAACATTGACTTGCTATTTTTGATAATCCAGCTTCCACTACGTTGCGTTGCGTTGCGTGTTGCGGGTGCAAGTTTTCATTACAGTAATAGAATGAGGGTAATAAATTTTATCTTTAGGCAATTATTGCTCTCTTTGTTAATGAACAAAGGTCTTCGGGTGGAAATATCGTAAAAGGTCTATAAACCGAGTACCTACTTAGGTGATAATTAAGTAGCAGTGCATGAAAGAGATAGGTAGTTATTATTATTAAATCTTTCTTAACCGATGACACATTTGCGAAAGGTGATTAACCTGCGCTATCGCAGACGGGTACACGTTTAGCGTATCGTCAGAGAAGTCTTCAAGTGAAGCTACTTATATTGTTTGAGATAAACTATTAAGGTCTACTTTAGAGCAGGATAATAGACACTTATAATTTTTATTGTTATAGACTAAATTGTAAGTATGGATGGATGCAGAAGCCGAGGAAGGCCACGACACACCCTATTACGATCAAATCAATCGTGTGCTCTTAGAAGG